CTTCTGCTCCAGGCTCTGTTGGAGTTTTGGCCCAGAACTCGCATCAACCCCATGGACGAGGAAGAGAACGAGGTGAACCACGGTAAGAATTGAGGGCTGACTTTTTTATCCACAGCCATTGTGAAAGTAAATCAATCAACGTCTGCAGTGATGCTCGCTAAACTACATTTAGGCGGCTTGTCCACCACACCCTTTATCCAGCTGAAAATGTTAAGTGCTTTTTCTGAAAAAGCTTGAGAGCTCATCAAGATGCACCATATTTTTTGCCGCTGTGGCTGCATCTGGTGTTTGTTTCCAGAACATTAGGTACAGTGCTTGTTCTTTGCCGGCTTGCTCCGGATTAGGGGAAGGGTGAAGCAAGTGGGAAAAGAGGTAAAAACTGCCATCACGTGTCACGCGGGGGAACAGCAGTGTAGATTTGTCTTTGGTAGAAGTTGTAACAAAGAGTACAGCCTAAACTGCTTATTCTGTCAAGTGTTGTCAGATCACTTTTCTTCTAAGTAGACTGTATGATTACAAATTAGATGTATTGTTTTGTAGCACTTGTACATGAAGAATGTGAAGATAAAGTTATTTATCTTGCTCTTCCTTCGATGTGAAAGGGCAGCTGTGTAAAAAGTGACAAGCACATACTTAATCTTAAACTAAACCTCATCTCATCTTAGATAAACGCTCAACGTTGCAAAAAAATAAAAAAACACACTGGCGTCCAGAAAAAGAGGCTTTGGTGATTAAGGTGTGTATTCAGATGATCTCACAGTAGTGTTGTGTCTGTGTGTCCACAGTCAACGGAGAGCAGGAGAACAGGGTCCAGAAAGGAAATGGATATTTCCAAGTGCCACCACACACGCCGGTCATCTTTGGAGAAGCAGGAGGCAGAACTCTATTTAGGTAATTCTCCGTGAAGGTTACATAGAAATGTTAAAAGTTGACTCTCTGATTGCTCCTCTTCATTGCGTCTGATGTTGGTTGTTTTGTGTTGCAGGTTGCTCTGTAGAGATTCAGGAGGAGAGACTGAGTCCATGCTGCTTAATGAGACCGTTCCACAGTGGGTTATCGATATAACTGTAGATGTGAGTACTCTTTATTTATCCTTTTACATTGAATCAAATAAGGCTATGAAGGTGAAATGAATTCATATTCAGGTTATTAAAGGCTCAATGAACCATTCATGAAAATGTAGAGGCCCATCATTGTGTAAGAAGCCTTTACATTAATTTATTCTGAGCTTAACATGTCATAAGTTGGATTCCATGGACTTATTATAAACATGATTAGAAGTTTTGCTTTAGATATGCGGAATAGAAAGTCCTCAATTTGATGAAATTTAACCCCAAATTGTGTATGATTGCTTAAGGTTGTTTTTGCCTTCCTCCAATGAGTTGATGCGTTTAATTTGAGATGGAATTTTTTTATATTTTTTACATACTTTATTAAACTCGAGGGGAAATAAAAACATCTTTTGCTAAATACGTTCTGACTGATCAGTGTACAGTTGCTGCGTTATAAAGAATCATGGCGTTATTCTGACTTAATGGACACTTGTTTTCAGTTTGTATTTAGACCGATCATGGAACATCTTAAAGTCAGCCTTCTGTTTTCAAAAAAAGATTCTTGTTTCCATTTGAAGTCTGAATACAAGATGAAAAACTCCTTGCAGCGCGGTGGATAATGGATGTAGTGTTGATCATTTCTGTAGCTCAGGATTAGGGATTTAGGATTCACAGCTGGTGAGGCCTGAAAACTGATCACTTCACTCGAAAGGTTTCTCTTCTGCAGAACAAAAAAAAAAAAAAATCAATGTGAGGAATCATTGAAAGTAAAGGCCCAAATATAGAAGGCATTGTGTTTGGTAGACACGACACAATCAGTCACATATAGATCTCTGTATAAATAGAGTCTTGTGAATGGAATAGGCTGTGAAAACATCTTGATCAGCTGGCCTTCACTAAGCAAGCCAAATCCGGTGAATCCTGCTTATAAGATGATCTATACAACGATTACAACATTTGGACTGAAAAGGCAATGTGTGTACATTTTGAGAAGCTCTTTAGATGCAGCACATGCACAAAAAGTTTGCTCCTGCCATGACTATTTGCTTAGGATTCCTGTTACATGTTTTATTTTTCTCTTCTGTTACAGAAAAATATGCCCAAGTTCAACAAAATCCCGTTCTACCTCCAGCCTCACTCTTCCTCCGGTGCAAAAACTCTGAAGAAGTGAGTTCCCCGTCTAGTCTTCAACCGTATTTTCTTCTAAAAACCAACACAGACATGTTGAAAGCTGATTGTTTTTACCCGTTGTGTTCTGCAGGGACCGTCTGTCCGCCAGTGACATGCTGCAGGTGAGGAAGGTGATGGAGCACGTTTATGAGAAGATCATCAACTTGGACAACGAGTCTCAGACGACGAGCTCCTCAGCAAACGATAAGCCGGGGGAGCAGGAGAAGGAGGAGGACATGGCCATGCTAGCCGAGGAGAAGATTGAACTAATGTGTCAAGACCAGGTGGGCATTGCGTTTTGGAACTTTTAACACCAAAGAATCCTCAGTAGAGATTTACAAACACTGCAGTTCTTTCCACATACCGGTTCTGATGCCTGTACTTAACTCTAAGTCTTAACCCCCTCAGATACAAGTGCATTCAAACATTCAAACTGTCAAAAACTTTGACTAATAACAAACACTCCATAGCATCGTCGTGTTTTTGTGTGTTATGGTTTCATGTATTTAAATGCTATTTCAACCACACTCTCGATCAACCTAGTAACAGGCAAAGAGGTGCAGAGGAGGCAGGCCTTAATCCTCCTGACGAACAGCTGCTGCGTGCAGCTCAGTCCCGTGTCAGATCAGTCCTGCCCCTAATTATACATAACTCTTATCCTACATAAAATCAAAACAGATGAGTCATAAAAAAAACTGTGTGTGCTGAGAAAGAGATCAGCTATTCAGACTAAAACTGTTTTTGGGACCTCTAAACGTGTTCACTTCTGATGTCATAATGGACTGTTTTTCATTTGGGTGTGTTTGGGACATCCGAGTGTTTTGCAGTCTGCCTCGAGTGGACACATGAGGAACTTCATTTTTTGCACTCAGACTTTGGCTTCATTTCTCAACACTGTAGTTTGAGTTGATTTTATAAGATGCTAAAACAAAATGCTTTTGAATCGGTGCATTGGCTATTTGAGGTTTGAGGCTGTATCAGAGGAATGTGCCTCTCGTGTGTTTTCTGGTAACAGTATTACTACAGAGAACATCGTCAGAGAGTCACCTTTTGTGATATGTTGTTGTTTTTATTATAATAATTATCAGTACTGTACATTTGTGATCTTGCTCTGTCAAAGTGCTTTACCAAATAAATTGTGATTTTATTTACTAACTCTTTTTTTTTTTTTTTGTTTAATCTTCCCTCCAGGTTCTGGATCCCAACATGGACCTGCGAACAGTTAAACATTTTATCTGGAAGAGTGGAGGGGACTTGACGCTTCACTATAGGCAGAAGTCCACGTGAAAGTCTGAATTTTTAACGCAAGAACTCTTCGTCATTTGCCAATCACTACCCACCTCTGACATGTAGTCCCCAAAAACCCCCATTGTGGTCAGTCGCAGCATCAGTGAAGTGTGTGAGGACGAGGCTCATGGTGTATCATAGGGAAGTGAACGGGACAGGCTGGAGCGGCAGAGACATCGGGGAGACAAAGCGGTCTGAAGTGTTTGTGTTTTTTGTTTTTTTTACAGTTTGAAGAACGGACACAATTCTCTCCAGCGCTCACCTGTTAGTTTGTTTTTCTTTCACTGCTTTTGTTTTTTCTTCTTCTGATTGGCATTTTCTTTTGAAGCGACAGAAGTCTCAGTTCGTGTTTGTGTCTGAGCGTGTTTGTGTACATGCACATGGGTGTAGTAGTAGACTGTTTGTTTGTTCTAGTACATTCCAGAAACTGTCCTCGTTCTACAAACACTCCACAGCAGCGTCACACCTTTTACGATCCACTCTGTCTCTGGGTAGCATCTCGTCTCCTTCTGTTCTGCTATCACCTTAACTTTAACCTTGGTTTAGACTTCCAAATACTGCAGAGCTTGAACCCCATTGACAGAGGCACTCGTGTTTCTTTTCTTTTTAGCTGTGCTGTTCCAAATGGACAGAATGTTGTTGTTTTTTGTAAATACATGTAAAACATTTTTGATTTAAGTGACTTTTTTTGCAGCAGTTTTATTGTGTTATGTACAGATTACTTCAAACAAACAAGTTATTTTTCCAATTCCCTAGAGCACATTCATGGTCATGAAGGTAATCTGACTTGGATTGAAAAAAAAACTTGCATTGCATTTGTTGTTTTTCGCTACGACCCAGACAATGCAGTTCTACTCTTAAGAATGTTAGCTGTCATCCAAGTCATTTTAGCAAAGGGGGAATAATATATAAAGTATGTATGTTTAACAGTAACTCACACTTACTCGCTCTGCGCTTCGGTCATGAGCAGTGACTCCAACGACAGTGAGGGCTGTTCCTAATGTATATTTCATTTAGATTGGATAGGACTTCAATGAATCATGAATATAACTTGAAGGGGAATCTCATCAAACAGACGATATGAATATGAAACCACTGTGGGGGAAATTCACCAAAGTGAAATAAACGGTAATAATTACCATTTCTCTCTCAGTGCGAAACCGAGCAGAAACACAGATCGTTTCATTGTACATTTTTCTGCCGTTAATTTTTTGCCATTGATGAGTGTGTGTTAACGCCATTAAGGGGGGGGATGCAGCGCGTGAGCTATGATTGGCCAAATCGAAAGGTGGGTACCAGAATGAGGCCATAACACTGCAATATCCCTTGTTGTAATAATTTGTGAAATATGTATATTTTAGGCAAAGGAAGAAATAAATTGGAATGGTTTAACAAAGACAGATTTATGGGGATTATAGGTGGGTGTTTCTTGAGTTATGTGTTCAGCTGATGAGTGTGAAAAAGAAGGAAAAAAAAAAAACAAGGGACAACTTTTCTTTTTGAAGTGATATGATTGTTTAACCATCAGATTCACCCATTTCACATTCACCGAGAGACTCTGCTCTCATTCCTAATAAAACATACAATTACTTGATAAAATATCTGCAAAAATACTTTTCATTATTTGACACCCTAGCACCTACTCTGACTGTGAAAAAAATTACAAGCCCTCTAAAAAACAAAAACATGACTCAACAGCAGGTTCACCGCTATCAGACTTCTTGAATGCTGAATGTGAAAGATTTATGATCAATAATGACATCAAAGGTGTGAAATCAGAGGCAGCACTCGCCGTCTGTTGCATAGATTACAATAATTACAAAAGAAGAGTTGTTGGGACTTATTTCCATCAAGTGAAACTTTTTTTTTTTTTTTTTTTACAGATCACAGGCATGGCTTCAAATATCAAATCAAAGACTTTAAAATAAATGTACATCACATTAAAGAGTGTTTAAAATAAACTGACCTTGTCAAATCTGGGGAAAAACATAAAAAAACAAACCTACATTAAAAGTTCTCCTTTTCTTTTTTAATCTGTAGTGTTGGATGTATAATTCTATAACAGCAGTTGTCACTGCAACACGAGTACTGTGGACAGTCTGTTAGTTTTAACATGGTGGATAGTGTTTGGGATTTTTAAGGTGCCGCGTTGCTTTGCCTCACAAACATTTTTGTGTTAAACTTTTAAAGTGTTCAAGTACGCTCCATATTAGAGTACCAGTATGTCACCTGTCTACACTGGAAAAATTGCTCACATGATGAACTTATCAACAGTAACTTTAAATTCTAGCATATAAATCAGATGGTGTTTTCACACATGCACAAAACTCCCCAAAACTTCCTCAAGTATATGAACGCAAATACCCAAATGTTTCACCCCGACTTTCCCCTGAATTTCTCCTGCCAGCTCACTAGTGAATATTTGACATGAAGTCATTGTGTGAGAGAACACAGCAGGAAATAGTCAGGAAAAAGGAGTGAGTTGGGTGGGGGGGGGGGGCTGAAGACATTTATATCCTGTGACCTGCACAACTGATGCAATCTCTGTGCACTTAATGGAATTATTATGTTTACTGTTCGCCGGTAAGTTCTTCTCCCCCTCATCGATACCGTGACAATGTGGAACATTTAACACTGAGGTAAATGCAAAACTTGTAATCATAGCATCGGAATTCCTATATGTCCCGCCTCCTGACACCCCCCCCCCCTTCCCACTTAGCTGAGGTGCAACTCAGGAAGATTTGAGGAACGCTGCCTGCTTAAATATTCCAGAAGTTTTCAGGGGTGCATATGTGAAAGCTCCTAACAGTGTTTTTCCTACTTGTTTGTTGATCCTTTTGCTTTTTTCCCCGATATGTGACCTGACAAAAGGAGCCCCACTGAGCCTGTTCACACCTGGTGTTAACATGCGTCCTGAGTGATCTGAGTATGCCTCTTTAAATCTAAAGCTAGTGACAGCTTGTTGTCACATCTCACGTCCCTTCTCTGAATACAAATACACACATAACCAGCACCTAATACGATTCATACTACTTAAAAAACTAATCAATAAAGTGTGAATGTGATCACTCATTCTGACATCTTAAACTTTCTAAAGAAAAACTATTTCTGAAATCTTAAAAATTAACATGAAAAGCTTGTGGGTCAAATCTTAGCATCTGTCTCACTCTCTGAGACAAAGAAGCATTTTTTTTTTTTTCAGTCCATTCCATATCTACAATTTAAACACACCGGATCTCACTGGATCAATGATATGGACCCGATGTGTCCCGTGTTAACACCCCTCCATAAAACACACACTATGCTTCACCTGCTTGAGAAATAAAAGAATCAAAAGGTTTTCACAGGACCTAAAGTCCACGCCGAGAATGACAGGAGAGTTGTCTGCCAATCAACATCATTGTAGACATCACTGTTAGCCTCGTTACAGAGACAGAGTGTTTGTGTCCCGGGACACATTAGCGAACACGGTGTTCACATCTTAAAGCGGTCTGCTTCTGATTGGATCACTCAGGATGCATTTTAAAACCTGGTGTAAACAGGCCGTCGGCTGTAAGACTTCCAAAATGCTTTCCCTTACTCTGTTCTGTATTCCCTGTACAGTGTTTCTATAAAAAAGCCCCAGTGATTGTCAGCTTCTCTCTGTACTGTGCTCATGGCCTGATACAAGCTTACTCAAGATGCTGCTCTTCTGGTTCCTCCTCATCACTGTCATGGCTGCAGTGGTGAGCAGGAGCTGAATCTAGAGGCTCTTCTGACTGCTCCTCCTCTGGCCCTGTTGCTTCCTCGATGGCCTGGGCAAGAGAATCGTCCGCTGACGGCTCAGTCACATCAGAGGATTGGAGGAGGTCGACTGGAGAAGGGCAGCGAGGCTCTTCAGATGAGACGGGGGGCTCAGCATTAGGCTCGGGAGCCTCAGCAGGGAGAGGTGTCTCACACAAAGAGACAGACGATTCTGTGGCCTCAGAGATGAGGTGAGACGTTTCAGCTGGTGGGACGCCTGAATCTGACAACGTGTCGTTAGCAGAGAGCGCAGAGGAGAGGTCCATGACCGCCTGAGAGCTCAGCTCTTGTGTCTGGTCTGCTGATGAGGTTACCAGCACGCTGTCCTCCAGCACATCTGCACAACAGGACATAAAAGCAATGTTTAAGCCTGTATAAATGGGCTTTGAATAGTCCAAATGTAAATGATAATAAAGTTAAGAAGTCACATTTAAGTATCAACAAAAACCTGAGTGAATAAGAACAGTCATAACTTAAAAAAACAAATTCAAAAGAAGCTTGGACTATTTCTCCACACAGAGTGGTCCATTACTTCCGTAATACCCGAGTAGAAATTTATTTTTTCACTTTGTTATTGAGTACAAACACACCAAAATACAAACACATGCACAAGGACCCTGTGAACATGCATTAATGGAGAGATGACTGAAGGAGCTGCACAAAATAAAGTGCCCAGAGCCATTTCTAAAAGGGCCTCGGCAACCACCAGTCCCAGCTCTCATGCTCGCTCTGAAGAGGGACTCAAAGCGATGAAACTCCAATTCTCAAGCCAAGTGAGACTGAGCTACAGACGCCCCTCGCCAAGATCCCTCTCTTTTTTTCTTAAAGCTATGAATGCAGGCGCGCTGGTGGCCGAGTGGTTAGCTTGTGCACACATGTCATTGCCCACTCTCTCTCTCTCTCTCTCTCCTCCATATCCAACTCTATCCACTGACATGTCTCTCAAATAAAGGCACAAAAATATATTAAATACATCTTTTAAAAAAGCTTTGAATGCATGATCAATTATGGCTTTGTACTGTTAGCTAATGCTTTATTATAATTCTGAAAAAAATCCCCACATGGCTGTTAAAGTCTGCTGCCAGATATACAATCAGGGTCAACACTCCCAAGTGTTTTTTTTTTTTTTTAAATTCAAACTACTTTTGGATTTGGCATTCCAGCGTCTGTCAAGTTAGCGCTGTGGACTTACCAACACCAGAGATGTCACCTTCCTTCTCCTCGTGCATGGCCAGTGAGGTGTTGGTCATGTCGATGGACGACATGGACAAATCCAGTCTGTCCATGAGGTCTGACGGGTCAGGGTTCATCAACGCCCCCTCAGAGTCGGAGAAACCTGGAAACCCAAACACGAGACGTTGCTGACAAGACTTTTATGAATACATGAATGTTGCTCCTTTTCGTTTTTTTCCTGTGTTTCATATTTCAACTTTTAATATAAATAAATTATTGTCAGGTGGATCATCATATTAAAAATATATTAAAAATATATGAATAATAGTTATGTTTAAAACTACAGGTACATATGTTTAGAATCCTTGTTCTCTTAAACCCAGATATCTGAACTGACCGGGGTCCATGACTCTCTGCACAGGGGGAGGTAGAGGAGCTTCCTGGAGGTTGACCTGCTCCAGCTCTGCTACATCATCACTTTGGTATGAAGGTGCAATCAAAGGTGTCTGGAGAATGTAAAAAAAAAAAAAAACAATGAGTTTGATCTCATTTAAAAGTAGATTCATTCAGTCAAAAGTTTTAAAAAGCTGTGAACAAAGCAGTGCCAAAACAAAAAATCAAATCGCTGATTTAATGTAACAATTTTTTTTAACATTTAATTTTTTATCTCACACGCATGAAAAACATTTATGGATTTCAGCTTCTCAACTTTAAGTATTTTATAAACTTGTCACTACGTTTGAAAACCGAGAGATCAGTCAACTAACAAATTCATCATTAACAGCAGCGACACTAAATGTGGTCAAATAAGTTTTACCTCCGTGAATCCATGAGCCGGCGGTTCTGGAGAGGGTTGAACCTCAGGAACAGGGGGGGGCGGTGTTGCCGTGGATACTTCAGGGTTTGCAGGTATTCGATGCAGGTAGCCATAGCCAATCCCACAACCCAAACTGTAGGCAAACATTTGAAATGCTCAGAGACCAATTGTAGTTATAAAACTGAATAATCCATGATACGTTTTGACAGAACAAAAACGCTGCATCATCAGAGAAGTCCTGGCCAGCTGACTTTTGTGAACTTTACACCGTTTCAAATATGAATAGACTTCAAAGAAAAGAGAAACATAAATCCTGGATAACTGATTTTCAAAGGTTAAAACTCTCCAGTTAGTAACTTGTCACATACCTGCCCTCTCCGCCCCACGCTCCGTTAGGTGTGACCACCACCTCTCTGCAGGTGTCTGTTTGTGCGTTGAACACCAGCAGCTTCAGGGGCTTCCCTTCATGCGCCTCGATCAGCGAGAAGAAGTCTTCCGACTAGAAATCAGAAGCTCTGAATTTACTACAACTCAGCTCTTAAAAAGATTTTCACGAGATGCTGTTTTTAGCAGAAAATATCAGAACAAAACATGAGAAATAAAAGCATGAAATGAAAAGGAGTCTTACATCTTGCATCACTTGATCCGCTCCGACGATGTAGTCAGTGTGAGGCTGAAGCCCTGCCAGTCCAGCAGGAGAACTGGCCTCCACATCCTAATGAAACAAACAGCAGATGAAGGTTTGGAGTAATGAGTGCACAAGTTCACGTCAGAGTCACATTTTGGTTTTCATGCTCACCAGCACGTGCCAAACATTCTCGTTGGCTCCTTGGTAGCTGCAGAAGCGAACACTGGCACCAAGCAGACCCTGCCCTCCCCACAAGTTACTGGGCATGACCTCCAGCTCCCGAAGCGTCAGGGTTTTAGTGCTGTACACCTCCATCTTCACTGCTCTCTCCACGCTGGCCTTCAGAATCTCCTTCAGCTGCTCATTTTCCTCATTCTGGAGAACAGGAATGGTAGAAGTAAAAAAAAATCAATTAGTAGGATGAGGTATGTACACTCTACTTCATGTCCATCCTTTATGACTCACCAGTCTTCTGTTGTCCAGAGACAGAATGAAGTCAAAGAAGGGCTGCAGTCCAGCGTTTTCTGCAGGGGAGTTGGGCTGCACCTGTTCAACAAACAACAACATGTGAACAACTTGTGGTGCTTCACCTTTGAATAAAATGATGACATTTGTATTTTATTTTAGAAAACTTATTCTCTAAGGTTAACAATAGTAGAAAACCAGAGAATGGATTTGCTTTTGAACAACTGCAGCTTTACAGTAAACAGCTGCAACAAGTCATAATCTTATCATGGACCAACGTATTTGATTTTTGGTGAATCTTTCATGAGAGTCCGGCTTCCAAGGGTCGAATTCATTCAAATCACTTGATCAAACCAGCAGACAAACACTGGGATCATTCAAGTTACAACCATTAATCCATAATGCAGCACTTCCTGTCCTCTTCATGACAAAAACTGATCGAATTTATCAACTAAACCACGAAATAATGTGTCACTATGAGAAGTGCTGCAACGTGAATGTACAATCTTTCCTTTTGTGACAAGAGCATGAAAAAGATAAAGTTATGTGTTGTTTTATTCTTTTACCTCAGGCTCACAAACATGAGAGGCTCTCAGTTAAAGCTTGAGCTCAGAGTGTTTATTTATCACATTTATTTTAAAGAAAAATACGATATCAGACATGTTCAATGAAGACAGCTGCAAGTCTTCACATTTCACAAGTTAAATTAATTAGTTTCTGTTGCATTGTGTGGGCCAAGATGAAGCTGATAAGCAGCGCCAGCTCATCGGGTTTGACCGGGGGGGGGAAGAGGGGAAGGGGGGTCTGCAGCCACATCTCCTAAGCTAACTCTCTCGTAGCACACAGAAACATTTCATAATAAGCTGCTGTACACGCTGTTCTAACTACGAAAAGATGAATGTTGTCTTACGCTGTGCACATGGTATCCATACGTCCCTCCCTCGGATACTTCTGAACTCTGTGATAAACCCATTTCTTCAAGGAAGTGTCGAAAATTGGCCAATATGAGAAGAAAATCACAAGAGAGTGAATTATTTCGCCTGACAGTCCGCGGCCATCTTTGTCTGTAGTCTAAAGTAAACGAACATCGATAGTATCGAACAAGGCCACGAACGGCGCATGCGCAACGGACTTTTTTTATTATTATTTTTTTTTAATTTGATCGCTATCGTTTAAAAGCAGGTTAAGTAGAGCTACTTTCAGTGCCTATTAGAAACTGATTTGGCCATTACACCTTACATGAAATATGCATTAAAACCATTTAACTTAATTTAATGGCCGTATAGTTGAGGAACTTGGGCCCCTAAAAGTTGAACAACCCCCAAAAATGACTTTAGTCTTCGAGGTCCTACCTTTCAATTTAGGTCTAAACCAAAAGTAATTTTGCAGTAAAATATTTGTATACAACCATCCATTTTATAAACTAGACATGTTAAAGTTATGAAAAATGTGGTGGGGCTTTGTTCTACCTCAGATAGGGGTATCTTGTAGACTAAAGCCATTTTGGGGGGGTTTGTTCCTCTACTATAATATTCTGAAATAAAAAGGATAAACCCCCTAAAACATCAAGCATAGACAGATGGCATGTTGGCGTAGTGGTTAAGAGAGGTGACTCCCATCCAGGACGCTGAGGGATTGAATTCTGACTTGATCTGCGTTTCTCCCATTGGCGATGATTTTAAACTATCCTAATGTCCTGAAATGAAAAGGACAAACCTCCAAAAAAAGAAAGCACTGACAGGCAGCAGAGTGGTGTAGTGGTTAGGACTGCCGCCTCAGAGAGTGAAGGTTCAGTGTGTGCAGGGACAGTGCAGGATGTGGACATTAAAGGCAGGGAAATAAAAAATAACATCCCTGAGAGGGTAGAGAATAAAAAACAAGCAGGGGAATGGACCGTTTTAACCAGAAGACACTGACACGTAAAAGAAAGGAAAGGAAAGCACAGAAGAAATAAAAACTGCAGCAGAACGAGTTTCTCTGGGTGAGCCCGTTCCTGGGGCTTGATAATGTGTTTGCTGTTTGAAGTCCGGTTCTTTAGTATTTCAACATTATATATGCTTCTCCTGCAATGAAGAGCCAAATGTCTACCATTAAAATACCCTTTCAAACATTTTGCAACAGATTTCAAACCTCTTCTGAAGTGCTTTCATGAACGTCATTGTTGTCTTGATTATTGCTCCTATAACTTCATGTTTTCACAGCATTACATGGGAGATTAGAGGAAAGAAAGCTCCACTCATTCATCAAAACAAACTGAAATCAGCGTATAAATAATAAGGCTTTATTGTATAACTCCAGTACAGAGCTCTTATAAACATACTGTTGAAAAATTCAAAATTAGCCAAGCAGTTTAAGTGTATTAATTCATCTTATACCTTGGCCAGCAGCCAGGAGGACATTGGTATTTATTGTTGATATCTTGGACAATACTTTCTAGAATTTGACCTTTTTGACCTCTTTGCAGACTTAAAAACTGTGCGATTAATATGCAACGCCCAATAAAGAGACACTTCTTTTTAAAAAAAGTGTGCCCTTTGTCTGATTCATTTACTGTGGCCATGGTATAAGAAATGAAATACCATTTCAGAGAGCATTATAAAGGTCCAGGGATATAGAACAAGACATATATTATCAGTGTGATTTCTATATAATAAAGGCAAAATGATTTTCAGGCAATAGAAAAAATATCCAGCTTTAAAAAATATTTCATCAATCATTCTTTGTACATTGAAATATTCTTACAAATACATACAGTGCTTCGTACATAAACATCATTTACACAGTTTCTTTGTCATCAGAATGCCTCACAGCAGCTATGACAGCTGAGGACCGACGACCTGCTCTGGGCTCGGCTCAGTCAGGCCGATCAGAGACTCCAGGAGGTAGGTGCTCGACTCGTACTGTGGCAGATTCACTGAGCTGTTCAACTGGAGGTGGTAAAAGCTGTCTGTGTGTCTGTGTGCTTTGAAAGAGCTGTGGATAGGTCCAGATGTGTAGTCGCAGTCGAAAAACTCTAGGTCGAGTCGGAGGAGAGACTCAAGTCCATGTACATGCCTGAGGAATAATCCATGGTGGGGGAGGGAGTGTGGGGGAAGCCCTCCAGAGAGTTGTCGTCAAAGAAGTCTCTTGCTTGGTTCGCGTTCTCATCGAGACAATCTGTCAGCGAAGTCCTGCTTTTGTTATCTGTGAATGTGTTATCTGTGTGTGGTCCCGTACTGTCTGTTTGTGTGTCAGGGTTTCTGCTGTGCTGTGTCAGTGCTTCTCCTATGTGCCTCAATTGGCTACATGTAGAGAAGTTATTATTTTCAGAGTCATAGATGTTCAGGGAATGGGACAACCCTGCATCAACTTCAGGGAGACTTTGATTCCCGTTGAGTCCTCCTGCTGCATCAGAGTCAGAGGAGGATGAAGAGGATTCAGTCATGTCGCTGCTGCAGCTGTTCTCCTCGGCCACAAAGCGCTCAGGGTTGAAATGAAAAGAAGGAGCTGTTGGCATGGTGAGAGCGTCTTCCTCCATGCTGAACCTGAAGGGGCAGCTTCTGTCCTGTTCACTCTGCACCTGATGGGTCTCATCCTGGTCCTCGTGTTCCTCAAGGTCCTCTTGAAGTCCTGCCTGGTCCTCCCCGCTCAGCGTTTCATTCTGCAGTCGTCTCTCCAGTTTGAGTCTCATGGCGGTGTGAATGTAATGAGTCTGCACTCGTCTGGAGTTGAACTCGATGCGGCCCTGAGTGTTTCCACAGCCATCCTTACTGCAGCCACATGGGAAGCTTAAGCGGTCTACCTGTGCACAAAAAACACCAGGAAGAGAAAATTAGCCCTGTGGGTAATCAAAAACACTCACAGAATAGAAAAGAAAATGTGAAACACAACACATCACAGGTAATACAAGATGAACAGAAAAACACATTCACTTATAATCACAACAGAGGTGATGTAATAAAATCCTAAATATCCCTGTATTTAATTATAAATAAATGTTAAATTTGAAAAGTGAAAATTTCGATTAAATTAAAGGATAGGCTACAGTTGTTATAGTTAGTTATAAGTACAGATAAGTTACAGAAGCAGTTTTTTGTCAGTTAAATGTTATGAATACACAGTTAACAAACAGAGGCTAAAATGTATGTATACCTCGTTTTGATAGTTATCTTCAAGTACAGACATGGATTAAGTAGTAAATGTTAGCTTAAAGGAACGACTACACTGTTTAATTAAAGTATGAAGAATAGTGGAAGTCCTTAAGGTTGGCAAAAAGATTTATAAAAATGTTTCAAAAGTTGACTAAAGTATCACAGAAACACTAGAGAGGGTTTGGTGAAAGTATACAGTGAAATTGCTGAGTCACATTTAAAACATTTGGACAAGAACAAAGTTGTAACTGTCACTTTTATAAGTTTAACTTTTACAGTTCACAGTTATTCAAACAGACGTTAACGTCTGTTTGAATATCTGAGTTCATCAGTCGAGGGCAGTAACACGTTCAGTGTAAGAACTGCTGGACTTACTCGGCAAGAAAATGAAAGAGATGGCTGTCACAGTAGACGTGACTCATGACTTAACTAAACATGTCTTCAACTTGCATTTTAAGGATTCATATAAGATGCTAACCAACATGGAACCTACAGGTGAAGCAGTTTTTGTTTCTGTGTCGTACCTGACACTTGATTCCCGCCAGACTACAGGCGCAGGTCTCCGGCTCACAAAAGCCCTGACAGTCACATCCGCAGGCCTCTCTGGAGACTCTCAGGGCGTGAAGCTGCCTCTTCTCCTCCCGGTCTATACGCTTCACCCCGGCTGCGAGGAGGAGAGCCTGCCGCTGTCTCGAGGAGTACGGCTGCAGGAATCCTCCCTCCTCCAGCTCAGTGTCACTGATGTGGATGTCAGAGTCTTCAGACAGGGTTTGATCCATGGAGAGACTCTCTGCTTCTCTCTGGTCAATGGCTCCACTAGTGATCAACTGGAATCATAACAAAAGTCTCAAATAAGAACACTGCAGTGTAGAGGAGTACTGCAAACTAACCCAAACTGACATGCACTCACTTTGTGTTTCATTGCCTCGAACTTCTCCTCTCTCAGTCTTTCTCTGAGCCTCTCTCTGTGTCTGTGCCGTTGCTCCAGTGCATGCTCTGACATCGTGTATCTCTGGATGCTGCCGTGTGTCCGCACCATGCCCAGGGTGGCTCCTCCTCGGCTGGGCACGCTGGTGAAGCCCTGACAGCGTGGGAAGCTGAGCACTGTCACCTGATCAAAGCGCACGTTGCTGTGTGAGTTTGAAAGCCTGGGCCTCTTCAGGATGGACCGAACTGGTTGGGCAAGAAGAAGACACACCAAAGGGGGAAAAGTGTGAGCCACTTTCAGGGTTATATTTTAAAGTGGGGGCATCTGGTTCTCTTAAACATGACCATGGCTGTCAGGCTGCAGCTACATCAGTCCAACATGGTCAAAAACAATTAAAGCTATGTCCTTGGATCTAAAATCTTGAGGTAGGACTAAAAGCATTCATCAACCTCTTTTGACCTTTTTTTTTTTTTTTAACTTAAAGAACCCACAAGAGATGATGTTCAAACAAACATTCTGCATAAGAAGGGAATGAGATGAGGGCCTGATAAACACAAGATACATTTTCGCTCTGGCATTAATACAGTATATCATTTCAGCAAAACTTTAAATACGAATGGTCAGGGTTATGCTGAATAGTTTCTTTCTCCTTCTACATACATTTCGAAAGTCACATAAACATAAAAAGAAAAGAAAAAGAGAGCGGTTGATAAAACTGTTAGAAGTTATTTGACATATCAGCGAAGAGAACACTTGATTTTCTGACTCTGGTAGGACGACAGATGATTTATAAAGCTTCAAGGTCCTGTGAGGAGTTTCTGACTGGTTATGAGATATAATAGACTGAAATGATACCTCATTCATCTTTTCTAGATAGTTATTTTTAATGCCTATAAGTGCTACTGCAGAGAAGGTGTCATATAAAGTAAGTTGCAGAGGACTACAGGAACAGACTTTCTTTACATTTTTCACAGCTATAAATTAACTGATTGACTTTTT